AAAGGAATGAGTGAAATTCGATCTGCACAATTGTATCATTGCAACATATTTGGATGAGTTTAAATAAAATGTCATGTTTAGATTTAGGCGTAGGCAAAGTTGACGTTGGGGAGGCCACAAGTAGTACCCCTCGTCGAGCCACGAAATCGTTCTTCTTGACATTCAAGGCCTTTGGGAGCTGAGTCTACCCTCAACTGGACAGGCATATGCGTCTGTGCGTGTGTGTGTGTGTGTGTGTGAACTGCTAGTCTTGTCTCTACGAGACGAGGTGAGACAACTCATTATCGTACCCCATCCTGGCAGCCAAGCGTGTCCCACTTCATACACCTCCACCAGCCTAGCTCAACTCTAGCCACAGAGTTGAAGCAGGCTGCAGCCAGCTCCTCGATTTTCGCGTCTTCTCCAAATCAAATTAGAAATTATGCCAGTCTCTACAGACTTGCCTCCCATCCTCCCATTCTCAGCCTTCTTCTCGGGTCTGATAGGCTTGAGTGCAGATTTTCCTGCTCAATGGTGACGAGTTTCCTCTCTTTTTCGCCTTTTAGCCTCCATCCAACTTTTTTGTGTGTATCCTACAAGACTTGTTTCACCAAAGTTTGCTTTAATCTCCCCTGCCAAACCAGACGACCATAGAGAGACGAATGTCCTATGAAAGTTATGCTTTGCAGCGAACCAGGTTAAGCAACTGTCCTCCTGTTTTTTCGTCGCTCAAGCTCTGCGCTTCTCTGAAATTATGCTTCCCGCGTAATGGGCTGTGGGCATGTCTTCTGCCCACTTGGGTACCAAAATGAAAGGTGAAGTGGCCTCTGAGACGGCGTGTTTATACATTTAGCCCCGCCAGTGGGTGTGAATGTTTGTATGGTTGCGCTGGTGTCTCTTCTGCCCTTCTCACAAGGTTCAGGTAGTTGAGGCAGGAAAATGGGCTCACAGTAGTCTGTATGTATTTATGTATGTATGTATGTATGTGCGTGTGTGTGTGTGTGTGTATGTGGAAGAGATGGTGAGCAGTTAAGCCATGAGTGTGCACGACTAGGTGTATGTGAGGTGACATGTGTATGTCGTGGCGTGTGCGTGAGTGTTTGTGTGTGTTGTGTGTAATTGGAGGCAGAGAGATAACGAGAGATACTCCGGCTGATACCATTTCTATGAGGGGCTATGGACACATTTACCTTTCTAGAGGTTAATTAGGCATGGGGTATAGTTATTCATAAAGAAGCCTATCCTTGCCAGGGCAAATCTCTTCTGGGCGGAAGTGGAGCCGGCGTGCTTGCAGTGATGGCGGAAAATGAAAAATTCACTGGAGTGAACAACCCGGGCCGTTGCTTAGGCAACCTGATCTCTGTTGGTTATGAGTGGAGAAGGGAAGTGCTGTCCGGGGGTTGGTCTTAATACCATGTAATTGGCGTTAGGAGTACAGGACCTATTCTAGGCCCATTCCAGTTCGTCTTCACACCTCCTCCGGCCATCATACGTAAGCGGCTATCTTCTCTACCCTTGAAGTGTGTGTTTGTGTGTATGAGAGAGTGTGAGATAAGCAATCCAGCCTGCACTGCGTACGGGCAATTTCGTGCGAGAAACACACGCTTACATATAAATATAAATAAATAAATAATTAAATAAATAAATATTTATATATTTATATTATATCTAATGTAGATTATGCGATCGCATACTCTAGCATGCCTACTGCCCAAGTGTGTATCAGTAGTATTTTCATTGGCATTTCGTTGGTCAATCCGATAAAATACAAAAACACAGCCTAATTAGATGCTGAGACTGCAACTTTATTTTACAATCGTCCGCGCCTCGAAATGAGAAGACAAATTTCCAGAGTTCCAGTTAAGCATGAGATGACAACCAATTTTCCCAAAGGGCCAGACTGACGGATGGAGTCTTGCATTCCGACTTGGAGAAGAAAGAGAAATAGCACTTCCGAGTCCCTTAACTCGGCTTTCAGAAGGCTACAGCTTAGTCGTTATGCCGTGGGAACATCTATTTCGAAAAGATAAGCATTATTGTACTGAAGATTTGCAGAAATTTGAGCGACAAGCAGATGCTGATAAGAGGTCAAGGAGAAAATTATGCAAAAAGCGCTTGAGGCTGAGTAAAAACGTCGTGAATTGGCTAAATCTGTAAAAAAGAAAGGAAAAATCCAGTTCCTGGGATGACTTACATGAATGATGGTGAGTATAAACTCATTTCTTTCAAGAGATGAGAGTGGAGATAATAAGAAAATCTTTCAAATACTATTAATCCAAAAAGACGCTTAAGTTGCCCCATATGGGACAAAACTGCTGGTTGCGTAGTGTGAATAAAGCCTGTCAGATTTGGAGAAAGTACAAATATGGTCCTTGCTCAAGCTTATACAAAAGGTGGATTAAGTTGGCCTGAAATCTAAGCCAACCAACAGAATGCTCCACATTACGATGGATTATGAGGCGCTGTTGACAGCAATTCTGCCTTTAGAAGGTCGAATATAGAGCATTTTCCGAGAGTGGGGAAAGTAAAAAATGTGATATATACTGGCTTTGTTGTTACCACTTCTCGAGTAGCCCAACTCCAGCAATAGCCCTTGAAGGGGAATTCATCAACAATCATTGCACAAGTTGTCGATTCGTCAAAAAGAGACCTTTAATGTACCGAAAAATTAGTTAGTATTTCCAAATACCACTTAGTTCAACACGTGGTCATACCTGCCAGAAAGCAAGGGGATATGGCTTCTTTACTGCCTAAATTCACCGATTCTGTCCGATTTGTACTAAAGCATACTTGAATAGGATATTTGAACAAATAGAATCGTTGGGTTTTTTTCGTCAAAAAGGGAAAATGGGTAAAAATGGGCGGGATAATCGGCCAAAAGAGTTTCAAATTAATAATTAAGCACACAAAACAGTTGCAAATAGGGTGTAAAATATTTTATACGATTAAGGATATTACCACGGATGCCTTAGATTATATAAAGTAATCGTTGTGATTTGTCAAAACCAGCATTTTGCTAAAATTAACACTATTCTCTGATAAGGAAGGAATTTGTACTTTTGCCTTGCCTGAAGAATAATTATATTCTGCCTAGAGGCTGTAAGGTGAATACATTAACATGAAGATTAGCACTATCACGTATTTCTTGGATAGTATTTAAAATAAATAAATAAAATGACCAAAAGTAATTAGGTGAAAGTGTGCTTGAACATAAGTTGTGCTTTGATGCAACAGGCCATTAAGCGTTGATTAATTTAATTAAAAAATTAACAAAATACAAACAACCTTTATTAAGACAAAATATTTCTATTATTCAATATTGTGTTTCTTAACTATTTTTCGAGCCTATTAAAATAATATTGAATTTCTTTTAAAATTTATGGTTGAATTTTGATCCTTTCCATTTTTATTTATACCTCAGGTAGAAAATGAACAATTGTATCGTATAATAAAGCTAGAATTCATTGAGTAAACTCAGTTAATTAATTTTAATAATAGCAAAATATTCGATATGATAACACAATCTTTCTTATTTAGTGATTCATTATTTTTAATAGAATGCTAGTGAAAATTAAAAGATCTTGACATCTTGACAAAGCATGCTTACTTTTAATGATACGTGCTTTCATTATAAAGACCTTAATGTTATC